ACGTCTCCAAGAAGTTTCAGTAAGGCCAATCGACAATTGGCCAAATAAGTCAGCTGTCGTCTTCTGCTGAGATGGACCTTGGAATCTCTTCACCCAACACTTTCACTCGAAATGGAAGTAAGTTCAACAATTATGAAACAAGATATTCTTCGAAACCTAACTTTTCTTTGCATAGACGGACCTTGTCCACCCATGACTGCGTCCACACAACAGCCATGCCTTGACGACCGGTCGAGTAGGATGGGGTTGCTGCCACGACCTCGAGTCACCAGAACCGGCCAGAACAGACCCGCCTTCAACCTTCGAGAGGGACTAAAAAGAATCTCAAAGGTCGACAGCATCTGTTGGACAAGACCGGTTTATGCCGTCTCGAAGCCGGCTCAGACGGAATCAGTCGGACGAATCCTGTGGCGTCTGGCCTGTATCAATATTCACGTTCACCTTAACTTTCCCACTCACGTGCACATTCATAGCCACATTCGCATTCTCATCCGCACCCACATTTCTCTTCGGCCTCTGCGATTTTTATGTTCTTGCTGTTGCTGTTACTGACAGAATTGGTTAAGTTAATTGCATGTAATTCAGCTTGATATTTCGTGTATTACCTTCGTAATATTTCGAATACAACACAAAGGCGGCTTCAATTCGCCGGCCTGCAAAAGTGATCATCCCTTTCGGGCGAATTACCCTCGAGTGCAGCTTTTCATCTCTTTGATATTTCCCGCCAGAAACCGAAGCAGTTGGGCATACCAACAGGCCATCTCGAGCTAAAGGTTGGCTTACATTCACGAGTGGCAAGAGCGCATGCACAGACATGCACGCCTGTAGGTGTGTGTACACATGGACAAAGAGAGAGGGCGGTGGAAGGGTGGCGGGAGTAGGATCGGCGAAGGGAGGAGTAAAGGGTTCGATGGATGACCGGAGATGCGGAGAGATTGGGAAAATGGCCAATTGATGGATGGCCAATTGCTCATTTATTCATTCATTCACTCACACACTCATTCACTCACTCATTCATTTATTCATGCATTCATTTCTTTTGCTCGTCGATGCATTAGTTGCCCAATTGAATGCAATCCTGGCCGAAGGATGCAAGCCGCAAACGAGGCGGCTCACAAACAAAAGCTGCTGTCCCCAAGACGTGGTGGATACAGCAAGTAGTCCCTTCCGGCTTGACAGTGGAACAGACGCGAAAACTCAACTGGGTCGGGTGCAACCGGTGACGAGTTGCGGAGAGCTCAGCAGAGTCCGTGGGTTGGAGAATTGCAATAAACAAAATAGAATTCCCAGTCTACTTGCATGAGAGAAGTCTGAATTGTCCACAGCTTGTCAAGAGCGAACCTTACTCACCTCTCCGTAGGACTAGATCCGAGTCCCTCCGACCGCCCTGAAAGGGGTCTGTGAGCTGAGCAAGCGGAGACGAAGAATCCTGAAAGCCTAGCCTGAACGAAAAATGGGACTATGCAATCCAAGACATGTCATTCCTTGTGTAAACAAGCCCTGGTGACACTTGACCGGCGCAACGCTCTCCCCATGCATACATAACGAAGCATATAAATACTTAAAATATTATGCAAAAAAACCAGCCAAATAGTTCTTTGTCTATCCATTTATATTCGCAGTACATTTAGGTTTTGCCCTGGAAAAAAATATATATGATAGTTATTGTTTATTTATAAGTAACTTTTCGAGCCCGCCACTAAATCATATACATAAGATGTATTCACTGTATTTCGTTACGGTGATGAAGGACTGGTAGTTGCATTTTACCACAACGATGTGAGTAGGCCTAAGGCTTCACATGAATTTCGCATAGCCTTGCCCCCCTTATACGTGTTTCTATTCCTTAAGAGGTAGACTGCACTTTCGAACTCGCCTCAACTGGTCCCATAAACACTCACCGCGGGACTCGAACTCGGGTTCTGGTCGTACAGCGTATGCTCTCGACACGTAACCCACTACGCCACACTGCCACGAATGCCCTGACTCACAGAGCAGATGGGTATTTCAAGGAGAGCCAAGACCTTTTCCATATGGAGTTGTTGTTGAGGAAGCAAATTTGTATTACCATGGTAATCGACAGCATTACTTATTTCTCGTTTATAAGTAGGTTTTAGAGACTACCATTAGATTATATTTATCGGATGCATTCACTCTATTCCATTAAGGCAATGACGGACTGGTATGTAAAATTCAATGGAAATGTAAGGCCTACT